AGCTCACAGTTCACCCCAAAGCCTCCCTCACGCCCCCGGCACACTTCAGCTCCCAGCGTGTGGGCCGGTCTCATTACCTCCTGAACCCTCTCACAAGAGGTGCTACAAACCAACCCACACCCCACTGAACGTACCAGCAGGTGCCAAAAGCTGCGCCGTGTCAGCAGCCCGGGCTGGCATCAGCTCCCCACAGCCACAGTTACTGCCCTGAGGGCTCGCTTCTCTCAGGAACATGGAAGGCACGAAGCCTGGCCTCAGGACTGACTTCTGCTCCAGCTACTCCCTTAAGCGGCAGTAAAGAAATTTGTTTTCTTTCCCCCATGGAAAGGAGGACAAGCCCGCCTCCTGAGGCAGGCCTGCAGGTTCAATAGCACCAGGCTGTTCCCACCCCAGCGGGCTCCGGGAATGCCCCGCTGCCCCCCGGCAGGCCCGGCCACCTCCACCCCTCAGAAACACGGCGTGAGCAGGCACCCCCTGCTCAGGAACCTCGCCCGCGCTGCGCAGGGGCACCCTGCGGCATTAATGCCCCCCTGCCTTCCTTCCCGAGGCAGCCCTGGGGCTCCTCACATGCCTAAATCCAACATGTGCTTACACGCTGTAGGAACTGCATCTTGACAGAGGTTTAATTGCAAAGTTTTGGGGAATTGTCTGTATTATCAGTGTTCATCACATCAAGTTCTATTTTGAAAATATGACTCACTAGTTGATAAGAGTTTTCCCAAATTGCTTAAAAGATTAATAAAATAATCAACTTAGCAGAGGGGAAGAAAAACCACAAAATATTCCTGTAAGGAAATCACTTTATTGCCTATATATGTGAATGAGCTGTTTTAATGCTCAGTTTCACTGCCTCCTCGGCATTTAATCTCTTCCCTTTTATGTCCTACTCTGAATTTTTTTAAAAGACTTTCAGGCTTTTATAAAATTAATTATACAAATCATTAGTATTAAAAAGGTAATATAATGGTTTCAAGAACAAGCTCCACAGACTATCTGCATATTTAATCATCTCTGCTAATAAATTTTTAATCACTCATTGAGTTCAGGTTCTTGTCTTGAAGCTTAACTTGATAACAAACCTAGCAACTGGTAGAACTAATTGGTACAGAGTAAGTGAATAATTTATAAGAGGAAAAAGCACTGGGTGTTCTGGAGGTGTGCAGAGACCACAAGTCACAGATATTTCTGGGAGGAAGCCTGAAAACAGTGGCTGATTGCAGGAATTTCGTGATACACTGCTGACATCCAGAGGCCAACAGTCAATACTGTTCACATATGTGAGCCAGGCTGTAAAGCATACTGTAAAGTCAGATTCATTAAGTTTTAAATATTCATGCATTTCATTAAAGTTAACATTAATTGCACGACCATACACATTGATTATGCATAGACCATAAGTGTTTAACCTCTGAAAGCTTGCAAGTATATTCAAGTAATGTCCTATCTTCGATGATTTCAGCTACAAAGTTGAAATTAGAAATGGAATACATTACAGTGTGAGTACTAGAATAGTACTCTGAAATACCAGAACAGTCGTAAAAATAATTGTTTTTCTAATCAAACAGAAAGGCTGATGTAAGCTGTAAATTGCTTTGTCTTTTTCAAAACTAATTAAATAAAAGTAACAAAGATTATGTGTAAGATTTCTTACAGAAAAATGCTAGATTGATTTGCAAGCCACAGCTAATAAATAAGTTTCAACAGTCAAAACTAATTGATGAGTGAGTGGCTTCTGTTTAGATGAATATGAGTAGCTTTTAAACAACAAAAAAAAGGCTATTCTCCTAAAGTAAGAGAATTTTAACTTTAAATGAGATACTGCAAGTCCACTATGGAATAATTCTACCCCCAGGGAAGCACAAAATGCTACAATTCTTAAACCAGGATGTAACAGACAACATTTGACAGAAATTCAATTATCCTTGCAAGATCCCACTTGTAGTTAGTTACATACATAATCCTCTTTTATTTAATGGGCTAAAGCTCTCCTTCAAAACATTTAGTTGGATGACTCAAAGACTCACTACATTTCAAAAAATTCAAGTGACTTAATAAGATTGTTAAGTAAAAACACTCAGAAGTTTAAAAATGTCATTTAATGCTGCCCCTGCAACCTTAATTCCGTCCGTGTATGTATACACGTTATGAAACAGCAGTGAATTAACTTTTAATCTCCTTTGAGCCAAGAAGATTTTTAGATAGGAAACTAAGGCACAAAGGGCATGCCAACAAATACAATGCTGAGCTTTAGCACAATCTCTGCACTAGCTCACATCTCGCAGAGCATACCCCTGCAGGGCTAATTACACCAGATAGCAAGCAAGGCTTGTGCACTTACACTGCTTTCGGTTCCTCTACATGGCAAGCTCAGTTCTCTCTTCCTGGCAGTGCACTACACATAAACACTCAGAGAAGCATAAAATTCTAAACCTGAAGAAAACATGAAGAGTTTTTCAAATATTTTGCTTCATATCTAGGTGTTTTGGCATCAAGTAAAGAAAGGTAAAAATGTATAATTTAAGTATTAGAAAACCTTCTGCAAATAACACCAGTTTCTATTGTTTTGTTGTTTGTTTTTTGGGGGTTTAGTTTTTCCTTAAAAAGCAGACCATAAACATTCTGTGAGACAGATACAAAATTGTCCACATTTTGTAGAGAAGCAAGTGTTGGAGACAGATAGACTGGCTTGCCCAAAATAGGACTGATTTCTTCCTGAGCTGTTAACAGCTCCTGATTAGCCAATTCTCTTTGTGAAGGTGGGCACCAAAGTGTAGTATTCCTAATTAGAAGTGACAATTAACACACTGAAATTCTGTCTAAATAGCAATGCCTACACCCCCAAAGAACTTTATGGTCAGACATATCCTGGCTGATGTCACAGAAATTCCTTGCTGTTTTGTTCTGACTGGTGGCAATCAAGGATCTTGAAAGTCATATATCAACCACTTGTACTATTTAGTATATCTGGAAGAAGTCTGGGATATCAGAATATTTGACTTTTGATGGGTGGTAGGGTTTTTTTTGTTGTTGTTTTTGTTTGCTTTTACATATTGAGACTACCTCCTTCATGTTTGTTTCTTGAGTAATATTTAAACAAGGAGGTAGCCTGTGAAGTCATTTAAACAGCAAACTAGATTTTATTAGTTTTACTGGTTTGGTTTTTTCTGGCATAGTCACAAACATCAACAGAGTCCACAAAAGGTATACACATCATACAAAAGAGCTTATGTATTCCCAGCAAAATTTCAGTTTAGATTTTAATTAAGAGAGCTGTCAAAATGCAGGAGGAAATGCCTTGCAATATAAGAAAGTTTTGAATACTTGACAGCTCAAATGTTCAAATCCCATGCTCATTAAGCAATACTTTATTTTACTTGGGGTTTTTTATTATTATTATTTTGGTTTCGCTTTGGTTTTTTTCTTTTTTTTTTTCAGTTTCACTTGTGAAACAGAACCTGAAAAAGCAGGCAAAGCTTCTTGATAGTTGATGTCTCTCCACCATGTGACATAATCCCTACATTCTTTTCTTTTCTGACAGGTCCCAAGGTGACAGGTACTCACTCATTGAGCAGTTGGCTTCTCTGCCAAGCATAGATACAAATAAAAATTACACCAAAGCTTTCACATGTCCAAGTGGAAATGGACTACAATAGACAATAGACATTCGTCAAGAGATGATTATAAAAAGGGAAGGGATGCACAGAATGTTTCTCCTTATTCTACGCCAACATCTGAAATAAAACCACCTGAGAAGTAATCACATTATTCAACCGAACCGAAGAGGTTTTAATTAAAATTATTTTTTAAGTACAATTTGAAATTATGTTTGAGGTTTTAGAGTTAAATTTATTAGACTGTAAAGATTTTTACAAAGCTTTCCTAATGTAATGAGCTTAGGCACCACATATGTTGCATCTTTGGTACACATTAGGAAGAGTTGCTTTTTTAATGAGCTTTAAAAACTGCATTTGCATACCAGAGGAAAAGGTCAGTGATGTGTGGATCAAGTCGGTAAATTAAGTATCACAGTATAATGTTATTATGCTTGCCTTCCAGAGACACACAATAACAAAACCACAGGCTACAGTCACCACACTGTTCCAATGCCTCCATGCCCACGACCCCGTCAGCTGACACATCCCGCAGGCTGCGCCCCGGGGCCCACCGGCCCATCTCCCACCCAGGCCTCCTTTACCTTCTCCCACCCGCTCCGGCAGCACAGCAGCTGCTGCAGCCATGGGCCTCCAGCAAGCACAGGAACGGGGAGCTGGATTCAGCGTGACAGCCCATCTTCAAACACTGCTTTTACTCCAGCCTTCACCCCTCATAAAGATACCCAGGACAGTGTCCTGAATCCCCACAACAAGATCAAATCTCTTGGACGGCAAAGCATCAGGATAGGGATGCCTCTTTCCCAGGTCCCCATTCCACTCGAGTTTTTGTCCAAGGATACAGCAGAAACACAAATACCAAAATTAGTTCTAATGCTGCGGTTCAAAATTTGACTTGGTCTACTGGTACAGTTCCTTTTAGCTGGAATGTTAAATACTTGGTAATCTGTAAAGATTGCTTACTGGTAGCTAAGTTGACATTTTTATTTTATAATAAATAATAAAATAATCTAGGAACTGACTACAAATACACTTCCCTGAGGTTTTCAGCAAAGTCCACTGAATTTACCTTTATTTGTAAGTATTGTAAATTATTGATAATTTACAACTATTATAACATTCCTTTTATTTTTAAGGGAAATTGAAATTAATTCCTTCCTCAACTGTGCAAAATCCACAGTACTTAACAGGTCTTTCTGCCTCTCTGTGTCAGAGATAATAGGTATACACTAAACCACATTATGCACTCCATAATAATTATGCATGTTTATACATTTCACAGCCAAGTAAGTGACAGTCCAGCTCTGTATGAAGATGTAGATTTAGTCATTAGATCAGAGAAAAAATCCTTTAAAATACTACAACAAGAATAGCACAACTCAATACAACTGAGCAGTTATAAGTGGTTTTAATGATTTTTCACTTTTTGGATATGATAATCCTCAAAGCAGCATTCAAAAATATAGTGCAAAATATTTATTTATTTTATTTACAAATAAAGTGTGCAGTTCAGCTTCTGATCCTTGCCACAGTAAATGTTATTTTTTTATGTGATGAACAGAAATTATGAGAAACATTTATAGAGAAAAAAGTTAATTTTAAACCTTAGAACAAAGATCTTCCTTCATTTATATTTTTGCAGGAGTTACACAATATTTTTCAAAACTGTTTTCAGTTGAAAAGAAAACCCAGAAAGTCCAAGACAACACTAAAGAATTACATAGGAAAGAATGGTTTTTCAAAACCATAAAGTTAATTTTGCTGTGACAATCACAAAGCAAAGTTCTTATCTACATATAATTTTTTTTTTCAGCTTAAACATAGAATCTTTACAATGTAATGGGTCCCCCCCGCCTTTTTGCTATACAAATTGCCTTTGGGGGAAAAAGTATACTAGTATCTTCCTTTCCCTCTGATGAAACAACAAACGCTTTGGTTATAGAGCAATCCGTGCACAATAGTGTTTTAACTTGCAAGGCAGTACTCCTTTATTAAGCTGGTAGAATTCCACTAGCTGGATGAGATCAGTAAATCTGGTATGACCATCATCAAGGGTATAGAACAGCTTCCCATCATCTTCCAACTGTAAAAATGGAAAAACAAGATTCAATAAAATCTTCTTTTGCTACTTTTTTTTTTTTTTTTTTTTGACTGGAATACTTGTTTGAGAAGTGCTCTTACAGACCAATATATTCATAACCTTACAACTACTGAGAGCAGAAAAAATACAGCGATCATTTACACATCATTAAAATCTAAGGAAAATATTTTAAGATTAAAAAAAAAGACCAGTAGGAAAACAATGTATTATTTGACTTCAAGTACACACCTAAAAAGAAAGAACAGTTAAAGAAGTATAGGAATACTCCTTCTGCACTAACAATACTATTTCATGCCTTTGCTTTGGAATGATAGCTGAGGTTAATATCAGCCCTGAGTTCATACAGAGCAACATGAACTAAGTTAGTTTGAAGTTACTCATAGATTTCAACCTTTGCTCCATTCATTTGCATGATTTTCTATCACTTTTGTAAGATGTGATGAGGCTACATATCAGCGCAGTGCAGTGCAGTGGTGTGCTGGGTAGTATTAGCTACACAAGACACTACCCAGCACAAGAGTGACGTGCTTGCTCTAGTAGTTCTTTGTTGTAGAAGGAAGAATTCCTGCAGCTCCAAACATGTATTAGCACAGATACAGAGGAAAAGAAGAAACTTCAATAGATACCTTGAAAGAGTCCTTTTAACTTTTAGATGCCTAAAAATTTGCAATCATTATGTCCCTCTCATAAGTTACTAAATGTTACCTCTTGCACAATTTGCATTGCACTGCTGACAATATAATTTCTTGATTTAGTTCCTCTACTGCTGAGATGTCTAATATCTAGCAGATTAGTGAAGTGACTAATATTTTTTCATGTAAATAGAGGGTGAAAAAATCTATTCAAACTATCTTTTAAAATAAAAGGGAAGAAAGATACTTTACAAGATTGAAAGAGTAGTGAATAAAGGATCCGGAAGTAGGTCTAGCATGAAGTAGCAGATGGTGTGCTAGGGAAAGATGCAACTACCCTACTTGAATACAGGGGAAGGGAAAAGATATAATTTGCTGTCTTACCTGTAATTAAGAAGTTTTATCTGAAGCAGCTGTTGAACTGCTTATGACTCCTGGTTATTCTACCCCTTTCTACCATGACTGGAAGTAGTTTGTAATTTCTTTATTCTCAGACTTTGGTCAAACCAGGTCAAACTCTCCTAGTTAAAGAATTACCAATGTGAGAATGTGTGAACTCCTGTGCTCCAGCCAAAAACCTGAAAATGGATTATCGTTCATTGGACTTCCTTTATGCATGCAATTTTCCTGCCAACACACTGCAGGCAAGGAGAGTTAACAATTCAAATGTCTGTTATCCTCCTAACAAGTTAATTCCAAACCTTGAAATGAATACCAGAAAGATTGCTAATTCTAAAGCTAACAATATATTTTGCAAAGTAAAAACTCATATCAAAATTCTGTTGCTCAAGACCCTAGCATCTTCTGCAAGCTAAGAAGGCTGTTATGAGAAAACATTTATTAGGAAAAGACAGTCCCAGAATTGTCTATCAATTCTTCGCCTTTCATATCGATGAAAGTTCAGGATAGAATCCATCAAAGTGAATTTGCATCAGCTCAGAGTGCAAAGGCTGAAAAATACCTTTAAACTAAAAAGCTCCCCAATTTTCAAAGTACAGGATCCCAAATGTATCCCAAAGCTTTCCTTCTGAACTTTTTACAATCAATTCTCAACTACCCACCTGCAATACCTGTTGCACAGGTTGCCAATCTTAACATGAGGCACCTGTTTACATGGGTGAGGCATGAACTAGCAGGCTGCAAACCCTATCTAAAAGGAGACATTTTTAAGTGCAGCATAACCTGAAGCAACCTAAAATACAAGAGAAAAATAACTCATTTAGAGATTGAGTAGTTTTTACCTTTTAAAAAGGGTTCGTAAATTACATTTAGTAAGAAAGTTTGCTGTTACAATGGCTGGAAACAGGTAAGAGTTTAGAACAGTAGAATTTGCAATTCAAAGAGGTAACCTTGATCTTCAACTAATAAGCTATGAATTTACTACAGTAATACAAAATGCCTTGTTTCTTAGAAAATGATCACTTCATTTAGATTAGCAGCAACTGGAACCAAAACCCTTCCTCCCTTAAACAATAATTTTCTGAAATATTTTAAGCACCGTTCTAGCAAAAACGGACCATGTTAATGTCAGGGTATTGAGAATGGAATGAGGGTACTGAATGCAACCAGAAACTGACAGAAAGGATCTGAAAGATGCCAATATTTGGGGGACAACAGCTTCCATGCTGACACACTCTCTCTGGATTAAGCTGTTCTCATCACGATTTATTTTTTTCAGGCTACTATCATAGGAGAAATGGCTTTACTTAAAAAACAATTCAAAAACATTTCCTTCAAGTAAGTGAAGTTTTGCAATGAAGTGATAAATGTCTTCTCGATGATGGGAAATGTGACCCAAGTGTGCAGACAACTATATCAAAACTAAGAATTCCTGGTTCCTCCAAAGATCCCACAACAGGAGAGCAAGGTTTTAGCACATTCTTATGAAGGGAAGAAGAGAATCATCCATCTCAGAGGAAACTGAAGATAACTGCAGCATCCTGCTACACCTGTCCTTAGAGAAGAGAGGGTCTGTTTTCTGATACAGAAAGGAAAAGGGGTCTCTTAAATTTGAGAGTTAAAGGACATCCCAATGAACTAGAATCATACGCTCTTTGTATGGGGTTTAGAAGTTTTTCTAAACCACAACAGTTATATCAAAGTAAATACTAGAAGAGACTACAGTCATTGAATGCGCAGAGATCGTACACCCAGGATTCTTAAGGATTATATGTTGATGATCCCATGGTATCCAGTGCATAACTATCATTTTTGGATGAATGAATCCTTAATATTCTGTACCTAAACACAATAAAATCCTGGACAATTCTTATAGCTAATCTGATCATCTTCTTTCCTCCTCTCAAATAATGCTTCAGTTTTATTCTACATGAACTTTTTTCAGTAGAGGATATCAGCTACAAGCCCTAGGTAAGGCATACATAAATTTGGTGAATGATCAAAGAGAATCAACAGACAAAGACAAAAAAAAAGTAGTGTCACTTGACTAATTTCTACTGAGCAACAGCAGAACCTGCTAGAAACTTCAGCAGGAAGATACATGGAGGCTAGAGTATTATGTGATCTAGAAGAAAGGTTCTTGTAAAGAGAGATAAAAAAGCTCTGGGTCTGCTCAGTTATGTTAAGCATCTGTAGCCAAAACACAAAATGCTCAAGTACTTATCAACTCAAGAGATGCAGAATGTAAAGAAATCCACATAAAACACAATGCAATGGGTATGGCTAACCATTCTGGCAGGATAACTGGACACTATATTCAATGAAAACTAACAGAAATATTATTTCAGCTTAGTAACTTCCAGCTTACCTATAAAGTAGCTTGACTAGATAGTGACTTTTTTTTTTTTTTCCCCTGAAGAAGACCTGAACATGAATATACCACAGTAACAAGAGAGGTCAACAAAATATGTCTGACTACAAATATTGAAACTATCCTTAACAGAAGGCTCAGTGAGATATGGACACACAATGGAAGCAATCCAAAACAGACAACTTAGAAATTGCGTACATACTGAAAAGTGAAACATGAACTCTATGAATACATGATTTTTATGCCATCAGGTCTGCTTCTATTCCAGTTGAAAGAGATTTGTTTGGTTTTTCAAGAGACTTTTTAGGATTTCATAATACTAGTCCAGCTTTAGAACAAATCAGACAGCAAAGCTCAAAAATGTTCAACTATACTAAAGAATGCTAATTACATTTAGTGGTACAGGTATTATTGTTTACATCTCCCATAAAACAACAAAAGAAGAAAAAATCTATCCATATTCTACCAGAGTTATTCAATTTTTTGGTTTTACAGCTCCATATATAAACTGAAAAAACTTACTTACTGGTACAATTTGAAAATGTTTTATTTTTAATCCATGACTCAGTGACAATACAAAGGTTTTGGGGTTACTTTGGCTATCACGTACCAGGAATACCCTAAAAGAGATCAAAAAATTTCAAAGTAAGAACATTTGAAATTCTTTTATAAACATCCAGTTAAAATTGTTCTAAATTCATTACAGCGAGTATTAGTGAAAAGCATAAATAATATCAATTATGTAAGTTAGGCTTTTAATCAGTATTTCTTTGCAAATGTGTCAGTGGGAATACTTTCTCTTAAGTTCTTCTTCACCTTGTCTATTATGTGAAAAACATGCATTCTCAGAATAAATGACACTGTAGGCGTTAGTTTTTACACTGCATAGAATTACAATACATTTCTTCAGACAGAAAAGCACCCTCAAAGTTTGTGCTTTGAACAAAATTTTTCTTTGGACTCTGACTAGAGAAAACTTGAATTTTCTAAATCACAAGCATTATAAGTAAAATTCAAAAGGTAGTTCAACAGTAATTTTACAGAAGAGGTAATGCAAGGCACACCAGAATGTTTTTCACATCTGGCCAATCCTCATAAATGCACTCTCATTTCTGCATAGCAGCAAAATTCCCAAAAAGACAGAGCTACACTCTGCTTGCTTTATGGAATGATCATGACACTCTGAATGGCCAACAGTGCCACTGCAACTAAAATTCACTGATAACTTATTCCAACCAGAACATGGACAAACACAACTTTGCCATAGTCCTGGTAGAATAATTTGGTAAAGACAAAGGATGATTACCAGCATGAGACAGCTTTCATTGAATCACCTGGTTTGGAATATTGGCAGAGAACAGTTTGAAGGACAGGGAAGAGCCTGGTAGCTTTGGAGTGGACAGTCTGAACTGCTTGTATGTGCAGGTCTGGAATAGATATAGCTGACCAATGTACCAAAGAAGGGAAACAGAGGGACAGCCACTGACAAGCATGCTCCTCTTTCCAGACAGAAAAGAAATGGGCAAAATGGACTTGCAGGTTTCAATCAAGCGAGCACTAGTGACCACCTAATCATAACTGTTTGCCCCACCACACACCAGAAATGAGAGCACGGGTACTACATGAAAAGAAAGAATTTCAAGGAAAGTAAAAAAAAAAAAAAAAAAAAAAAAAAAAAAAAAAACACTAAACAAAACAAAACAAAAACAAAACAAAAAAACCAACAAAGGTTGGCAGTGCATTTTCACTGACTTCCAGTCTGGATTCAAAGTGCTAATTTCATTCACAGCCTTTTTAAGCGTTCTATTATACATAGTAAGAAAATTCTTGGAATTACTACATTTGGAGTCCATACTCATCACCAGTTCTGTCCAAACACTTGTGGAGTCCCGCTCGGAGCCCCGTGAGTCCCGCAGCCGGGACCGCGCGGGCCTGAGCCCGGCGGGCCCCGCTCAGCCCGGCGGGCCCCGCTCAGCCCGGCGGGCCCCGCTCAGCCCGGCGCTCAGCCCGGCTCGCTCCCACCACCTAGCGGGCTCCCACCGCCCCGCGAGAGAGCGGCTCGGCTCTCGGCAGCACCTCGGATCCTGTGCACCACTTCCATATCTTATATCTTTGTCATCAATGACTGGCACTTCGTTTTATTCAGCGAAATGACACTGTAGGAATGTGCCACTTTGCAGAGAACCAAAATGGGTTCTCTACACCCAGTTACTAGGATCTACATTAAATGATACACAATGTAATCACTTTTATTGGTTTTCATTCATCAGCTCTTTTAAAGTACATTTTCTTACTTCTTTCCTTGTTTTATCACATATATAAGGAAAATTTCTTCTCCTTCTGATAAAAAAATCTTTATTTTCTAACATAAGCACAATAGACCTACTTTAGTTGTCAAAGAACTTTTAAAATTTTTATTATGAAGAAAGGGCTGTAGTTCACAGAATCTCAGAAATGTTAGCTGGAAAGAGCTTTTTAGACATGCTGGATGACTCGAGCCAACTTCTCCCTCATGAACTTCTCTGAATGATGAACTGGTCTTTTCATGGGCCTTTTGGTAATGCTCTTATCCCTTGCATCAACTGGATGCTGATCAGTTTGCAATCCCACCACCCATTTATCACTGAAAAGTCTTCAAATATACTTTAGGGGGTAAAATACAAAATCTACAATACTACCACATGAACCTTTTTAAGGAAATTGATTTAACACCAGATCCAAAAACTTTCTTCTTTCATAACATGCCTTAAAATTGTTGCTGTCCCTAATTCTGTTATTGGATTATCCAAATACTAAAACTACTGCAATTAGTTTATGTAACTGCTTCTTTATCTTGTAAAAGCCATCATGGAAAACATACTTGTTGGTACATAACAGTATTACAGAGGCCCAACTCCCTTGTCATATATGAGAACTCCTTGCTCAGGATCACCTTACGGATTATTTTCTCTGCCCTCACTCCCAGAAACTAAAGGCTTATTTTTCCCATTAAAAATTGTTATATTTCTGTTGATAATTCATGCTTTTGGCTCATCAAAATGATGTCACATGAAGTCATGTGTTTATTACTTCACTGTAACTCCTGAATATGTATCTGACAGCATATGAGCATTCCTACTACCAGTGTTCTAATTAATTCTAGATAGTCCACACAAAATTATCATCCTCCTCAAAATCCCACTGCACAGCTATGAATGGCTCCAAGAATATAACATAAACAACACTGTACTAAACCAATGCTAGCAAGGTATTCACTTTCTCATTTCAGTGTGTCTGTAAGAAATACACTGGAAGATGCATCAGGCCTAGACTGACATCCTGTTCAGAAATACATGTTGGATTCATCCCCATATCCTGTCCCACTCATCTAACAAATCCAAAAATAAATGCAGAGCACCAGCTTCAAGATGATAAGCCAAGCTTAAAAACAAGACCACATAAATTAAAAAAAAAAACAAAAACAAAACCAAAAAAAAAACAACAAAAAAAAAAGTGGAAGTCCAATTAAACATTCCTATGCTGGGTTTGTTTCTCTTTCCTTCCCTTCACTTTTTTTTTTTTTTTTTTTCCTGGAGCCCTTTCTGTAGATGTAGAAAACAATATTACAACATACTTAATCTAAAACTGAAGGAATTAAACCAGCAATCTGATGATGCAGGTACCTAACTCAAAGAAAGTGAAATTTTTTATAGAATTACTCATTGAATGAAGGAGGTCCAAGTTTACATTTAATACAGAACTATGGATAAAATTGAAGGAATGAAAAGCAGGAGGATGTGAACATAAAATACCTACTTGCTCTGTCATTTTTAAAATTAATATTTAAAAGAAATATTTTTTAAAAATTAAAGTCTTATCCCAACATTTATTGTTTATTAAAGGATGACACAATTTTTAGTCAATTCATGAGAAAAAAAGCATACTTTTGTTTCAATGTCTGTCCCAGCACAGTTCATCTTAGAGTAATGTTTTCAGGCTTTTTTTCACTCTTTCATCACTAATAGGGACACAAAAGACTGGTGCCAAGGCTGACAGCTCCAGAGAATCCTGTGCAAAAACACAGCCCTAGTGCTTGGCTTGGAATGGACATCAGTAATCGCTCAGTGACAGAATCGAAGTCTTAGATCACCACTTCATGGTTTCCAAATGATATAAAACAGGAACCAACTGATCCCCAGATAGTCCTATATAAAAGAACTTTTACTGCCATAGGCAAGTGCAAACTCCTTGCTCCACCTCCTCCCAGTAAGAGGCACAATAAAATAGGAGTTGTTGGCTAGAAACATGTCTCAGAGAAGTTATGTAAAGAATTAACTTACCCATCTGCAAGTCCATGCTGCAAAATAAGTCTCTGAGCCTCTTCTCTAGAGATTTTATGATGAAACCACGACTGAGATCTGTGTATAGCTGTAGAAAAAAAGATCAGTGAAAAAACATTTTCCCTTTATTGAAAGAACCAGTTATTGCATTTCTCTGGCAAGGAATTAACTCACACATACCCATGTTAGACATGGCAATAGGACTACCATGTGAGTTGAGTCGGAGACACCCTCTCCTCTGTATGAGAGAGAAGCAAAAATGTGACTTCAAAACTCTTTTGTTAAAAAACACCAGACTGACAAACAAACAAAAAAAAAAAAAATCAAACCAGAAAATACTATTCACTATTCTGATAAATCGAAGATATTTATACCCGCCATGCTAATCCTTCTTCAACTGCAACTGAAAGCGCTTCTGTTGGATTTTCTATAATTCTGCTTCTGTGTCCTGAGAAATCCATGGCTACTAAAGAATTTTCTGAAATGCTTCTCTGCAACAAAGAAAAATAAATTTAGTTTGCTCATTTTTTACAAGATTCATCATTTAAAAGCGAGCTTCTGAGAAAACATTATGTTTTGTAAGTGATATTTCAAGTATTGGCAGTGTTTCTCATCAGAGCCAAACTCATTTTACCCTAGGGAGCATTTATAATTCCAGTATGCTGCTGCAAAGCTCAATTTTACAGTCTGGCAGGACAGACCATCTTTTTGCATTACTGCAATGGATGACAAATACATCACTTTACCATAAACTCCATTTATATTTTTAACTATAACTAGCCCTTTCCATGTCAAAACAAGTCAGGAAACTGTTACTAAGATGCCTAAGTAACAGGAAAAAAAGGTAAAATACAAAATTATTATCATAATTATCCAATTAAAAAATATTCAAAATATTTCATTAGAAATATGTCAGATTTATAGTTTTCTATATAAATTTCCATTCAGTTTACTATATTCAAGCAATTTAAGCAATTTCTATGGAGTATAACTTCTATTTTAATACATCCTTTCTAACTCTAATCACAAACTCAATAACTGCAGCATCTGTTACAAAAAAAAATGCTTGTTTTTTTCTCTCAGTGAAGATCAATTTTGTAACAACTGAATAAGAACATTGAGGTTTGACAAAACAGTCCTAAAAATCACCAAAATGTTTCTCAGAAACCAAGGTTTACAAAATCAGGTTTTGTAAGAATTGTGATGGCTCAAATGTTAGCAGGCATTGGAATAACTAATAAATAAAAGAGTATTCTAGTACTCAGTAAGTTAAAGCAACATCTGGACACAAGAGACCCAGATTTCTTGCAGAGTTAGCAAAGCTTCCCAGTCCAAAGCCAGAGCAGCTCTGGTTTTCTGGTTTTTTGGGGGGTTTTTTTGGGGGTTTTTTTTGGTTGTTGTTTTTTGTTGTTGTTGTTGTTTTGCTTAGTTACAAGCATGAATATAACTAAAAATGGAAGATGGCAATTCTGTAGTTCACTGTAATTCTTAACACTGTAGACTACGGTCTATCTGAGTAACTGTAACCTGTAAAGAACTTTGCAAAAGTAAAAAAATAAAGGCAAATTAAGAGAAAATGTTTGCCTCTAGCAGGGTGGAGGGAACTATTTGTAGCTGACATGGTTGAGAAATTAAGGAATGTGAAACATGGAAGTGGCTTCCTTATGAAGTACGTTCATTAGCGTGTGCACTTAATCCATGATTATTCAATTTGCTGTTTTATTCATGAATTGTACACGAGTAGAAAAACAGTGCCATTGTTTGCAGTGGGTAGAGATTCTGCCTGCTAGAAGCTATGGGAACAAAACTGCACACAACGGTGAAAGAGGAGAGAATCAGTAGTGGCTCCTTGATCCACCATAAGAGCAGCAGCTGGCTATTGCAGTAGCTTCACATAACACAAACTAAGGCACAGACAGCATATTAAGCACATGCTTAATAAGCCATGCTTATTAGCACTCAAAACTACTTTTGTGAACACCTGTGATAGCAAATGCATTTTTCAGGCATTTTATCAGCAAGAACTAAAATAAAAGCTAAAAAACAATTCACCATAAAATCATTGTCACAGATCTTGGCAATAAGTAATTTTATCCAATTTAGCCAAAACCGCAAAAGGGATATAAATCATCCATGAAAAAGTCTGAAATCAAATGACTCATAAAGAGCTGGGATAACATAAGATATTAAGAAATTGACAACCTCATCCAATCCCAACTCTCCAACTGAGAAAATGGACATAGTATAGGCTGTTTTTTCTCCAAAACAGGGCAGACCATCTGCCAAATTTGGTTTTCCCACAAAGTCCAGTCAGTATTACACCAGCTCAAATTCATCTCAAGTACTTAATATTCTACATTTTTAAAAAAAATTAAAAGAGGAAGCATACCGAAAAGGATTTGTTACAACCTTCTTTTTCAGCAGCATGTGTAACCTTAAACACTGCTTCTCTTTTAATGCATTTTTTTCAAAATCTTCTTTCCATTCAACAGTAATAAGCCAGCGAACTCCCAAAATACTGAAGATTTTACAAAGAGAAAGCTTTTTAACTCATTTATTCTAAGTCAGGAAATTAATTAATTAGCTCTCTAGTCAACCCTGGTACCGTAAATATTTCGGCAAGCGTTGGCACATGCAAGGTTTTGAAGGAGCAGGTCAGTAGTGTAACTGACACAAGTTACTTGAAAAGAGCAGAATGGCAGAAACATGTATTTATTCATGGAGCTACTGTGGGACATACCATAGGTGTTATATTCAAAGGGCTGCAGCCACTTCTACCTTGATATGGTTGCATGTAATTCTGATACAGCTGCATCCCATACTAAAACCAGAAAATAACATGGTTAGCATTTTAAAATATAAATCTAAGCCAAGTAAGCTTTTTTCCAGATGAAAAAGATAGCACACATTTTTTTTTACCATTAAAAACCAGGGACAAAAGCTGTTAGGCTAAGGAAATGCACATCATCATTGTTGCTGCTGCCTTTATAAGTGTACACTTTGCATTAAATAGCACCCAATTAATACACTACCTGGCCTGTTCCTATTTTGTCACAAACAGTCATATTTTAGAAACATGTAAGTTCCCTTGTCGTGTATTCTTGTGGCTTTGTTCAACATTACTAAGCAATCTCACTGAATTCAACATTGTTACACAGAAGTATATGCTTAATGTTAAATTATTTCAGGACTGAGGTATCATTCTGTCCTTTACAATGATTCCAGGATTTGGTCTCTCTCTTCTTATTGGAATTGAATATATTTCAAAGTACAAAATGGCTACTGCTATTGCATAGGAACCTAAAATGATGTTAACTCTCTACTCACAGTATCAAAATATCACATAGCACACTTGAGCAAGAAGTTAACTCCACACAGAAAAATTACCTTGAGTAACCTAATTGCTGTCATCCAACAGGTCCTACTTTGTTCATCATCTGCACACAGTTGTTTCAGGTCTCTGGTTCCTCCTGATTTGTTAGGCTAGAAGGCCACAGCACATTTTTTTAGCATTAAAGCATATCTTGAAGATAATACCTGTTGAAATAAAAGCCACTAATTCTCCTATTTTATAATAGACAGCTGAATATTGCTTACAAAGCCTTAAAGAAAGTTAAGCTTACCTAAAAACTGTGGCTTGCTTTAATATGTATCAGAATAATAAGCTTGTACCTTAAAGCAGAATCCATAGATTGTTGGTGCTCCAGAAATCTTTTTGCCTGTTAAAGACATGTACATATCACTATTGCTGAATTCACAGAAAAACTGCAGATGCCTTGGCTCCTAAAAAGAAAAGTAATGTAATACAGTTAGACTACTTTTAGCCAGCCTCTCCAGATAAGAAACTTGGAAGAATACAGTAGCTATCCTGTTCCAAAATACAGTCTTATAAACTGCAATTTTTAACCATGACATCATGAAATCTAAAAAGAGGAAACTCAATATTCATTTCATAATGCAGTGGAAAAAGAAATCAAATCAGTTAGAGTTTATTCTTCCAGAGGGGAAAAACAACCCAGACTACAAGTTATATAATTTCTGAGAAAACTTTCCTAGATTCAAGCAATAATGGAATTAGAGTAGGAGGCAAGTTTTGAGAGCAGTATGCATTTCAAACATCAAAACAAAATAAACCTTCATAAACAGAAAAACCACATACTGTTATAACTATTGCTCAGTACCATTTCTAATCATTACCTCTACCCACTAAGTTAATTATATCAAGGAAGCAAGCAGAATAAATTTGCCAAAGGATATAAACCAGCTCAATGAAAACTTTGGCAGGTAATTACAGAAAATCCAAAACATGAATAAACATTGGTTTGAGTAGTTTATGTAAAAGGTTTCTCAACTCCAATGTTTAACATGATAAGGCTTAAAGTACCACCATCAAAAATTGATGTAAAATGAAAAACTGTCCAGTGACAAATTTTGAGAATTCCCAAAGTTATCCCGTAAAAATAATTTTATATCATTAAGTACTATATCAATTTTTCAGAACATCTACTTATACTTCAGAAATTTAACTAGAATTTGAAAATTCATTTTAACAGGGTACTCTGTTATGCGAAATATCAACCAGAATGAAGCAAACTTATCAGGGAAAAAGAAACCAGAGTTTCTAAGACAAGACCTTCCCAGTTTTTTATCTCCATAACTCTCTAGATTATAATAACAAGAAGTATTTTTTCTCTTTTATCACTATCAGTTTAATTATTTCATTATAAATTTTGGTTATTATTATTACAAGAAATGATAAATACATACATATTTGCTCTGACTTCACAGTTCTTGCTCTCTGGCTTTTTTTTTCTCCCTTACCTTAGATGTACCTTTAGTAGAAAAATAAAGGCCAGATCTTCTCAAAAGAAAGTACAATTTTTTCCATGATTTTTTCCCCTGCTCCTTTGCATACAAATAACCATGAATCTCAGGATACGTGCTGGAGCTAAGGAACATCTGAAACAAAGTATCAGACATGCATTTTTCTTTTCCTCTGAAACTAGCTTTATATTTTAATAACATACGCAGGGCTAAGGGGAATAACTCCTAAATACAGTATCACACCACAGTAATTCAGTTATGATCACATCTAATCCCATCAACAGCACCTCTCATTTAAGGCATGTAAGAATGTTACATAACTCCAAGGTATGCTAAGCAAGTTACATATTTATATGGAACCATATGGTTTGAAATGAGAGCATTACTTCTGCAATATGTGAACTTCTGCAACTAAACCAGTGTAAGAAGTACTGATGCCATGCCTCAGACCCTATTTATATAAAACTGCTAATCAGTGCTAACATCAGAAGAAAAAAATTACGTCCCTCCCCTCACCCACCATGTTACAAACCAGAGAAATTAACTGACCTGAGTTAAAATTAATTCAGCAAACCACAAACTCCAAATTACAAAACCATGCAGGTCAGGCAGATATTAGATTTTCAAAAGGAGGGAATAAAGGGCTCTGCACCTGAAAGGTGCTTAAGGAGGAGCTTTAGTTGAACCAAAACCAAAGAGGTCAGTCCCCAAGACAGCTCCTGCCTCTACTCAGGATATTCAGTAACTTCTCTTCAGCCATTTCATCAGACATTGTCAGAGTGCAACACAGCTCTTATCTTGCTGAGGCTTTGACAGCTGTACTCACTCTTGCTGCAAAAGTACCCACTAAAAGTGAGCAACCATGTTACATTTTTATCACTCTTCTTCCAATAACACTACTCAGAACTATGACTCTAAACATATTAACCCAGAATTCTTCTATTTCCATATATGCCACAGAATATGTTATTATTGAGCTCTTCAAGAAACCTTGCCCCGGGGTCTGTGGTATCATAAATTCTATCAAGGCTCATATAGAGGTATGGCACAAAGGATTTTCTGGTCAATATCTGCAGTTTTCATTGCTGAATTTTCCTCCTCCACACTTCTATTTCCAGAAAATCTTATTTGAGGAGTGAAACAACAGATTACAAGGCAAGAGATGGACTGGCCAGTACTGGACTCCAGCAGAATGAAAATGTGTATGTTATTTTGGAAGCACACCATGTCCTCTGGCCACTAAATAATACAGTCCAACCAAGATATACGAGGTTTCTTTGACTTTTATTGTTTTGCTGCCTTGCAGAGAGATGCATGAATACCAGCTGTAGACCAACCTGAGCTGGTGTGAATGCAGTAACACAGGCAGGGCTCCACTGGCCAGGGCAGTGCCCCAGCCCACCACCAGGACTGCATTATGAACAGCTTCACAGCTGTTCACCTGAACAGTTCAACTACAGTAAGCCCAGGTACATCAATCTACACGTGCTGCTGGCACACAGCTGAGTGCAAATGCAGTTTAAGCTAGTTTAGCCACACTGAAGCAGATGGGTAGGTCTTGATACATGTTCCAGCTGTTCATCTTCCCTTTTGCCATGTACTAACAGGTACACTGGTGGGAAATATGCAGGCTGAACTGAAGAAGTATAAAATCCATAAACAAAGTCAAATTAAAGCCTTAAGAAAATTCAAACAAGCCAATGTATGCAAAAACAAAAGAGCATCTTTTTAGGCTTTAATGTCTCTGTTAAAACTAAAAGGAGCGGTTGGCTTCCTGCCTGCACAAGTGTCTTCCCCAGGATTTCTGCCATAAGAGCTTCAAACCAGAAATGCTGTCATGAAAAACACTCCTCTTACTCAGCAGACCAAAGTGGAGGAGCAATACAATGCTAAGCTTCGACAGTCACTGTTGTACCCATGCTATCAATTAAAATAAAGTAGCAGTAATGCTAGGAAAAAGGCAATCTTAAATCCATCTTTTCCTTTCTAAAGAAAGACAGCTGAGGACTATGTGAGAAAATAGAACATGAACAAGCTGTAGTCAAAACCATTAACTGTCAGAAAGATGAGCAGTAAAAATATTTCAGAGTGAGAACTGAATGTCTGTAATAAACACCAAAAATGAATTATAGTAGGAAAGAAAATTTCCTTGGGATATTTTTTGTTTCAGGTTGATTTTTGTTGGAGGTTTTTTATTGCCCTTTGTTTTGTTGGTTTGGATTTTTTTAATGGAGGTACATACAAATTTGTTATAGGAGGGAATGGATCCCTGTTTATGCAGATAAAAATAAGAAAAATCCTTAGTACTGTAAGAAGAGAGAAGAGCTCAATGATAGTATACTGCAGACAGGGACTACTGGTCACACAATATGCAGAAATAAACTTGCACCCTCTTCTCCACACAGTCAACTATATCCCCTGATAAGTAGAGTGGTGTCAAATGCCACCATGTCCTTCAGATACTGATATAGACAGCACTAAGGAGTTGAAACATATGCAGTGTTTCAGGGAGTTAAAGAAGCCATCATTATACTAGACTTTGAATTATATTGAATTTGATGACTGATTTCTTCAAAGATGTGATGACAGCTAGCCATGATCCAGACCAGTATTACTGGGAATGAGCTGGAGTTTTACCCTGAATCTGCTGAAGAATTCTAGGAGCACCAAGTAATTCTAGTGAAGAATTGATTTTGAATCTCAATATTGTCCCCTATAGACTTCAATCCACCTGAAAGGTTTAGACTGGGAGGCAAACAAACTTCCTAGAGTGGAAGACAGAGTAAGGCAATGGGGAGATTAAAACAACATTCAGGAGACTGGCAAGAGACTGAAATTTAGTGCAGGTCTGTTTCAGCCTGAAGCCTAGAATGGCAGTCATGTGAGAAACTGGTTAGGGAAAGAGGGACCTTGCTACAGCACAGAGATTAAAGAAATGAAAGTCTGGCTCTTAATATTGATCTTAAAATTGTCATACTATGTTCATTTTTGACATATTTTAAAACATCAAATTTGCAAAAATAGCCTCAAGCAAGTTCCAAATGCCCAGACTGCCTACCAGTACACATGCACATACAGTGCTGTGTCTTGGAGCTGCCATACCCTGACACACCTCTTCTGTAGGCTAAAGGTTTTTATGGCAGCAATACATAGACATTCAGTATATCCCAGACCTAGTGCTTGCACTTAGCACATGTTAAATGGATAGGAGACTCATGAACTTCTCTTTTGTCTTTGTGGCTCTGTTCTACAAAGATGCTCTGATTCAAAATGATTCAAAATCATCAGCCAAAATACTCACTCTTCCACTTTCAAAGAGAGTTAAGAAAAAACAGACCTTGAAAACATTTTACTTGCTTACAACTCAATCCACAAAAGGATGTCAAAGTATCAGAAGTGATTTTTTAATCACTTGTAAGCATTGAATTATCAAACTAATGTCTCTTTTGACACTTAACCAAGCACATCACAAATAATAATGCAGCCCATTAACTTGTCTTAATGAAAGTTTCCAAGGAAATAGTGACTCACTGTAAACAATTTACCCAACAGTTTCTGCTGAAATGTGCACAATGGCTGCACAATCCACCAAGGTATTCTCTACTTTGTGCCTATTAAGTTTTATTTGTTGAAATACAATTAAGCATACAATGCAACCAAAATAGCAACAGAGGAAAGTTTGCAACATGTTTTTCAAGCTACCAAAATGGCATGTAACTACATATATATTTAGAATGATTCTTAAACTTACGTACCAGCTTTGAACATATTATAGATCTCACAATATAGGCTTAAAGAAGTTCTGCACAAGAATATATGGCAAAAAGTTCTCTTATAACAGTCTTCATTATTTTTTGGACTACCAAATTACATTTGTGAGGAAAAATATAAAATTCTATTAACATAAGGGACATAATTTTCTAAATTAAATGTTTATGCTAGACTGCAAAATCTGTATTATGTCAGTGGCAAAAGGGACGCTATTTTCATTAGATTTTCAGCACTTCTGAAATCACAAAAACTTTACTTAGGTTTGTAAAAATTACTTACCAAATCTAGCGTGTATCAAATCTAATTCACAAAATGTTTTACTATATTTGGGATAATCTTAACATCTTTATTAAAATCTATTTTTATAAGGATATAATTATTTAATATGAAGGATTGCTTTGAGAATTAGTTGCTTAAAATGATTTTCATTTACTGGTGGATGCTAAGGTAGACCTTACCATATAGATTTTTTTAAAACTGTAATTTATGTTTTTCTTTTGCTTTTGCCCTTAATATCCTGTGTTATGTTGCCTTTCCAATCATTCTTTATCCCCAAAACTCATGCATAGGGTTGTTGTCTTAAGACCGGTGGAAGTTCTTCTTCTATTATTTAATTTTTCTAATGACAAGCAAACAAGAGTAATGTGTATGTTTCCACCTTTATTACTCATTTTTCCCCTCTTTGAAAGTAAGACGGTGATCCCTGATACGGTCATTTTGTATTATCATTTCATTAATCCCACTGTAAATTAGAATCTTGTGTCTGCTTAAAAGATGACTAACACTGACTGACCTACCATAATTTTTTTTGAAGGCTACAGTAGCCTTCAAGCTAACAAATCATACTAGTCAGTCTAAATTTTCTACTCATTAAGTTTAACCATTTAAGTCTTTTTTATATCCATGTGTGTCACATCACCAGTATTTTGCCATTCTACCATAACTTGCTGCTAAGTTTGTTTAGCACTCCTCCACCTATTTAAGGAAAAAGGGTCTTTCACCTGAAATACCCACTAAAGGTATTTAATGTTTTCACTGCATTTTCTCTGTTTTGGCGCGTCTTGATTCTTAAAGGATCTCCAAGTTTCCAAGTGTGGACATATAATAGCTGCAAGGAAGGGACACATAGTTTCTTATCTCTTGAGGAAAAAAGTTATTAACCATGTCTTGAGTTATTCAAAATCTAGCAACAGATCCAACAGCAATAAGGAACTATGCTCACGCAGCACAGGTAATGGGAAATTATCAACTGCACTGGTTCATCTTCATTCAAGGATTACATACCTGTAATATCCCAGAGTGGCTTAGTGCTGCATTGGTCTCACTTGGAAAAGATATCATGTGATCTGGAAAAAAGCTCTGTAACAACAAGAACTTGTTTCAAAGTTCTGTAGAAATAAATGTAAAACTTTCTCTTTTGGAAGTGCAATTTAATTTCTCAGTGCAGTGCAAGACACTGAAGATTCCCTGATCCAATAATTTAAGCTTACCTTAATATCATCCCAAAATTTGGCACATGCTATATATTATTTGCTGAAAAACATAGAATTTTGAGAAAACATCAATAGTCTCTGGAACAGGGTTTCAGACACCAGTGCAAATCACATTGCAATATCTGGCCCTTAGTGTTGTTTTTCTAGCAGTAATTTCTATTGCTGTTGACATACAAGACTTGCCTGGGGAGTCAATATGCTACAAAGTAAGGAGGCTATACACCAACATGCTGAAAAGTGTATTGTTTTCTATTGTTTTCATTACACTAGAAACCCAGTAAAATATTTTGAATAACTTCCACTAATACAGAAAAAGTTGTCTCCGTTTTTTAATTTTCTATTTTAACAAAAAAAATCTGACTACATCAACATGATGGGATTAAGTCTACAATTAAAATGCCAGTTTCATTATCAAGGAAAGCTCAAGGGATAATTTATGGGACAGACCTGCAGCTGAGGTGCTCAATACAGTCATGCAGATATGAAGCACACAAGGGTTTGACTAGTACAAACAATGGTTTCTCAAGGCCTGGACAACTTTGAAGTTAATACCCCCTTGGCCACCTAATGTCCAGCAATTTCCATTTTTAATGAAATTGAATTTATTTAATTCACATTAACTCATTATGATAAAGCATTCTTTATCATAGCTAAAAAGCTACATATCAAAGCTACAGCTGGGACCAATACACCCAGAAGAACTCTGCTTAGCTATAGCTGCTGCAGCTGGTGTAGCCGCAGGTCTGCCATGCTCCACAGCCAGTTCCACTCACTCGTTATACAATACATAAACTTAATTTTTGGAGGCAACAGACAGAAACTGATGCATAGAAAGTCCCACCTGAATATGAGGAAGAACTTTACTATGTGGGTGATCACATACTGTAACAGACTGCCAAGAAAGGTCATGGAATCTCTCTCAATAGGGATATTCAATAACCCTCTGGATGCAATCCTGTGCCATGTGCTCTGGGATGACTCTGCTTGAGCAGGGAGGCTGACCCATTCTGTGATTGCCTCTTTACTAACTATATACCATCTCAAGCTGAAAAATTTTTCACTGGTATAGTGATATTGCCATATCTGGGACAAATCTATCATGATTTGTCCAGAGACATAGAGGTCAATCAAACAAAAAAATTCCCAAAAGTCTTATATTTCTTGTTATCTTTATATTTACCTTTTTATCTTTTTCACAGATAGATAATCTGAGTTCCTTTTCACTTTTTACCTTTTAAGCCCTCACGCAGTTCTGCTATTTCTCACTTTTACATCTGAAACAAGGTGGTTTTATAAGAGACAGCACTAGGAGTTGTCCAAATACACCATGGAGCAACCAGATGGTAAGTTCCTTCCGCTGAGCCAGGACTGCTTCCATGGCCTTTGCCATCAGCCAAGGTCTGAATCAGCAGCATTAACCTTTGGCACCATCTCTGCATTACGAGATATCTCTGCTCTCTCTCCATTCCTTATGTATGCTAACTTTGGCTTCACTTTCACTTACCCCTAATAGGTTATGGCTGCTCATGGCCTTTCGTGTCAGTTGTCATTTAGCTACAGCTGGGAGAAGCTGCAATTCGGCAGTGCTGGGCCAGAACATTCAATTTTCACTTCACAATAAAATAATCTTTGCTAAAGGTGCCCCTCCTCACATTGCTCTATTTTATATTATGTTGTCACTTGATGAAAAGTTCCCTGAGTTGCAAAAATTTCATTTTGTTTTACGTCCATGTGCAAATTTCAATACAGACCCAATGGCTGCTCCCATCACCCTCAAACATAAAAAATGAACATGGATGTTTTACAGCTGTAAGAAAGGGACCAGCCAATGATCACATGCACTATAATACATTGCTGTGTTTCAAATATTCCTTCTGACTCCTGTTACACTAAAAAAATTAAACTCTACCTGTGTGCACCAAAAAAGACTGTTTTTTTAGAAAAAGTAACTGCACCACTTCACAGATATAATGTTAAGACTTACCAGTGGATTTTTAAAAAACTCATACTTTGCATAATTTTTTCTAAAATACAGTTTGGTTTCCTCCTCCATTACCCAATTTGACTGGACTTCCAATACTAATTCATGGTCTTCTATAGCTCTTCCTATAAGAAAACAGAAAAAAAAAAATTAAAAGAAAATGCAAGTATCAAGTTCATGACTAGTAGAAGAGCTCTCGTGATCTACAGATAAGTGGAATGAAGTTACACTTCCATGGAATTTAACTCTCTCTTCACTGAATTTAACCAATTCTTGAGTCCAAAAAGACAAAGACTAAGGATGCTATATGAAAATCCCATTTGTAACTAGATTAAATGAAGCAAATAAAACTATAAAGAAATTCAGAAAAAAAAACATACCCCAAAACAGTGAAAGGAAAGTAAGCATTTTGAAATCTTCTACAGGTTGTTCTACTTGAAAACACATTCTTCAGATGCAAGGGCAAAGAACTGAAGCTCTGTTAAAACCAGCATTTTTTTCCCTTCAGTTTTATAGAGAGAAAGTGCTCCTCTGAGATGACATTTAAAACTCTTAAATGGTTGGCATTGTGACATTTAAGAAAACACCATTTCCTGAAGACTTACTTCTTGGTAGAAAAATATGACATTGTGCATCACCCCAAAAGATGGGTAAAGATGCTGATATTTCTTTATTTTTAAGGTGTCACAGCAAAAAATACATTATAACTGAGTAAACTTACTTTTTTGAAGGAACTGAAACACTGAACGACCTCCAAAAAACAGCCCTGTAATCAAATCCCTAAATGGTGACATGAAAAATCTGCCCTTTAGTTTAGGTAGATTATTTTTATCTTCCAACTAGACTAGAGAGTTTCTACCTCCCTTTCTGTCATCTCTTTATTACTGCTGTCTCTAACTTGAGGAGCACCTGCTACAGTCCACAACAGCCTCCTTAACTATGCAATGTATTTAAAGCACATGAAGGATTTCATATTGGAGTACATGACAGAACACATTTCAAAAAGCCTCTTTCCTAGCCACCCAGTGGGGAAAAAATTTAAACTAAATAAAAAATAGAAAGACGTTGTTCAGCACTATTGCACAGGTAGTGCTTTATGAGCCTTCCCAGCCTTAACAGACTATCTGAAAGAATGCAGAGTGAAATCAAATTGCAACTGAAAAATACTGACAGGCCTGGCTAAGGCACTATCTTCTACTCAAAAGAGGAGCCCTAGAACATGTGTGTTCAGCTGCAGAAACAAACAGAAAACTGTTTACAGCCAGCAGAAAAATTTCTCCATAGAAAAGGAAAAAATTCTGGGTGAAGATAGTACTGCCCTTGCAAAGGAGAGCAGTTATGGATGACTGTTCTCTTTTCAGAGCCTGCCCTGCTCAGGGGAATTGCAGTGGGTATGGGACTCCCAGCACCAAGGTACTTGGTAGGGATGACACACCATCATCCAAATTTAGGCACACTTCAGCTGTTTTCAATGATCTTAGACATTGTGAAAACCATTCAAAAATGTATTTGAATTCAATATGTTAGGATAAAAAGAACACATACTAGAAAGACACAGTTCTGAAATATATTGATTTATAGAGCTGCAAGATTTGCTGAACTTCAGATATTTGAAATAGAGCCCCTGCTACTGCAAAACTGGGGAGGTGGGGAGGAAGGCTGAGCTTCCTGGCTGCCAAGGCAGCAGCAGTGAGGACACAACCATCCTTAGTGTTCAACAATAGAGCTCTGCACCCAAGGGCAGAGTGAAAACTGAAATACAGAGACTGTGGGTTTATGATTTGCTTTAGGTGGGAGTTTTGTTGGGATTTTTTCCCTTTTAAACCTTCTCAGCAGATACCCCCACACAGCAATGAAGGCACAATCCATCGATGTAATTAATGTCTGTCTTGATTAAAAGTAGAACACTGTGCTCAGCTCGCTAAGATTCATGCAATTATATCTAATTTGGGAGTATTCAGACAGCTGTTAGATTTTAAAGAAAATGTTCCCTAATTGATGGATGAATTATTAATCCAAGTAATCCTGGAGTTTACACAGACACACACATTTTCTCACAGCACTTCTCCTTTCAATACCAATTCACTTATGAGATGAAAAATACTTTCCAAATTTACATGGGTAAAACATACAACAGTAACAAACAGAAAACAATCCCAAACTAGCTCATCATTTGAGACGTATTTGTTCAAGCTACTCTTCCCGTGCTCAAAAATATAGTTAAAGCAAGTTAAGATGAATATGTTAACTTTTTCTAACAAAACCAGATCTAATCCACTTAAAAGAACTCCATTATAATTCAGTACTCTAAAAATATATAGGGGATATCTCAAATTGTTCCTTTCTTTGGCCAGTAATGTCGAATTGCCAACCTCATCATCTAGGAAATAATGTTACTTTTAAAATTAAGCATTGACCTTTTTCTAGAACTACACTGAAAGCAGCAGGAGCAATTATAAGACTGCATGGTGAATTAAGGTCTTCAGTAATTTCGAGATTATCAGAATATTAGGAAAATCAATTTCACTAGTTATTTGATATTGAAATCTTCCAAGAAATCCTCCAGATGGAAGAAAACACACTACTTGTCAAGAAGTGTACTGTGCAAATACAGAAAGCTGGACAAACAGTGCCACTATTGTTTTGGCATGGTTGCTCAAAGGCATCTTCTTCAATAGCTACTACACTACTTGAACACCAGCTACACTACAAAATACAGAAAACTTTACTGTTTTTATAGTTCTGTTTTGTAAAGCCATTTTGCTACTCTTCTTCTATAGCAGTCATTTTCAACCTCGACCCAGATTTAACTCTGACCTTACTCTGAGTTGGAAGCATCTTACAGCATTCAGTACAAAAGGTTACAAATATCTTTGAAATTTTACAAAGCAAGAAAAGAAATTTGAAAAATGTTTGTGTCTGCCTTCATAGGATAAAGGAGTATAAAAGGGCAGAAAATAGTTTTTGGTTTTGTAGTTCATCCTTCAAATAAAGCTGATAAACATAATTGAGTCAAGAGATGCACAGTCAAGTTTATTTTCAACAAATACACAGGGCTGGATTCCCTAGATACATCCAGAGAAATAATGGGACTCTAACAATAGCTTTTAGCCATATTTAAATATCTGTGGTGGGGGGAGGGAAGGAGGGAGTGGCCAGGAAAAATGTTTGTGGGGGTATTTCATTTTTGTCTGTGGTGTGTACATTTTTTTAAATCAACAGCACTGGAGTTACCAGGTGCCAGTACAGTCTCTTTTGAGAATTAAAAACTCCATGGAGTTTTCTATGTATTTTAGAATGCAGGAAGGCGTCCAGAACATCCTCTTTTTCAAGCCACACTTTGCACTAGCAGATGGAACTGCCCTTGAAGTTGCAGAAGTACTACCTTTTTTAGCTCTAGTACAGTGCCAAAGTTCAAGAATAACATGGAAATTTTGAGTGATGTGAAATTATCACCATATTTCTTTGGCATTTGTCTTCTAGTAGATTTTTTCTAGCATAATTTCCTATCAAAAGCATACACAACACAGTACTGAAACACTGTGCTGCAAAAGCAAGTAAGATTGTGTAACTTGAGATTCAGTTCAATATTACATTCCAGCAGTGGGCTTCTAAACTTCTCTCTAGCTAAGTCTTTCCTGTATTCTTCCTTTTTAACATCTCTGCAAGCATTCCTTTCTCCCTACAATTAAATTGCCTTATGTTTTTTATACTGCAGAAGTACACCTATACAGTTCAAAAAGGAACAGAGATCAGACATTATATTTTGAAACCACAGATTACACAATTTGAACTGGATAATAGAAAAAGAGAAGTTTTACTACACTAGAGGAACACTGACGATGTGAAAGAATTTTAGAACATTTTGTTACCAGTAGTTAAAATACTACACATGGCATGGCTTCAGTACAGTTCACTGGTCCTATGTAGAAGTTTAGAGGAATGGTTTTGTCTTCCCTTTAAATTGCACAGTCCCTGAGTTCACCATAAATCTAGCCAAACTGAATGTAGTGAAGGAAAATACTGACAGGCCACTCCGACATTATTTCTAAAAACCGAGTCCTATAGTAAAGATAAAATAGCACTGTGTAACCTCTTTCTTTCCCTGATGTGAGATATTTCACCCAGATATGTTAGAAACAAACAGAACTTTATTTCAAATTACAATAACACAAGTCTTTTTAGAGATAAGCAGGAGATACCACCCATAAGAGAGAAAGAACTGCCAGAGAAAAGCAAGATAGAACAAGAAAGAATTTGCAGTGAGAACTTTAACTGTTAGTGTCTTCCAATCGTTCTTACAGATGAAGATCAAGCAGTGAGAAGCAAATATACCATGAAAAAAATATAGTTTATACCTATGCTTTCAAAAATAATCAGAGGCAACAACCCCCAAAAGAAAAAAAATCACACAAAACTTCCAATCATTTTGTTCCAAGCCTTTCTATTAGAATTGTACTTTCATGTGAAAATGAAAACCAAACACCTTATTTAGCATCATATCATTATACATTATTAGTCTTACCTAAACCTGTGTGGGTAAGTTGTTCAAAGAGAGTCCAGCTGTGGTCATCAACATAGTGGTTCTTCAATATTAAGAGCTGACACACATCCCTGGCTGTTATATCACTTGGTACTTCCAAAGCTCTGCTAGTATCATCTTCACTATACACTTTGATTACCTGCAATAAATAAAAACTCTAAAATATCCATAAGTTTAATCTTTGCTTCAGTTTCTCCATATGTATGGCTCAGCTTCATGACTGAGACAAGAACCCACACACACAGAATGCAACATGAAAGACAGCCATTCCTCTCTAGTGCAATGGCATAATTGAGAACAAAGCAGCCAAGCAAAGCATATTCCACTACTAAATTTGGCGACTGGATATCCCTTGCTACAGGACATTGGCCAGATTGGTGCTTTAGCTTTAAAAAAACATTAATGGAGAGATAAATAAATGCAGTTAAACTGTACATTCTTAAGTAAGCTGATAAAGAAACTACACAGCATAAACAGTGAAACTCAAGAATTCTATGACTGCAGAAGTGTAGAAAGATTTGATAAAGGAGTTAGTTCAGAGAATGGCAATCAGACTCAAGATGCTCACAGTTCTGTAGACAATAAAACAGGAGATGTTGCAGAGTGGCTTCAAATTTTGACAAGCAAGAACTGGAGTTCTTGCACACATATCCTCAGTTTAAAGGGTGCCCAAGATGCTTTTAACTGACAAAAAAATACTTCTCACAGTTTATTGAATTTATCCATATTCATGAGAATGCAAGACAAAACTCTCTTGAAATTTATGCACAAAACCTAAATACCATTGTAAACCCCTCATTAAACAGCAAGATACAAGTTCTCACTTTAAAGACAAACAAGCCCGTTACTGTCAGTCATTCTTAACAGCTGCCTTACCGAATACACGCTCATTTCAAGCATCTAATAAACAAGCAGCAATGTATTGTGCCCTAACTCGTCAAGGCATCTCCCTCTCTGGTTTGTGCTAAAGTTGACAGAAAAGTGAACAAGAAACTCCAACTGCTTCTTCCCACAAACACAAAAAATCAAAAAATAATTTTAGAAAAAAACAGGTCCTCTCACTCATGATTTCCAAACATCAGAACAAGGGAAAAGGACTCCATTTGTAAACCACACTGAGATTTTAAAGCACACTGATGGCCTTACTCCTCTACAAAAACCTATTTTTTCAGTTGAATTAAAGAAATAAAGAAGTTTGGTTCCAAACTTTGGCCCTGCACATTAAATGAGCATGAAGTCCATGATAATTTGCTTTAATATTGCACCTAATAAATGTTGACAGTCAAGAGTTCCACACAATATTCAGCACACTTGCCACAACACCAATCTTCAGAATACGGCAAACATTAAATTAATGCTCCTAAAGTGTCGAAAAACCTCTCCCTACTCATGAATCAAGCACCTCAAAGCTGGGACTTTCAAGGGAAATAGCAGCCCTCAGAGAAAGAAGATCCAATGTTTCCATGGGCCTAAGCTGCAGCTCAGTATTTCTATTTAATACAAAAGGTAAAAAGACCACATTGTTACTGAATTTAATACTGCCAAAGCAGCCATGGGGGATGGCTCTGGTTGGCTTTGTAAGACATCTATGCTTTGGCAGTGTCCCCACTGCTAAGCAAGAGAGACCAGCAACAATGCAGCCTGCTTGCAGCAGAGCCTGGTTCCACACAAGGTCCTCCTCCAGTCACACAGAAATGATGTTTGGCCATTCAGGATAAACCAGCATGAATTATTAAAATTCCTGCAATATTTACAATGATTCAAAGATGAAATCTAAAGATGTGTCTGGCAGGGTTTACTGTGAATGGGATGGAGGGCTGTAGGGGTGACTAGAGGAAACAGCGTCCCATCACCTTAAAAGAGGTCCTACTCTGGGCAGCACTGAAGGTCATAGACAGCTTCATTAGTCTGTCCAGCAAGTCTATGTCAGGCTGAATCGAAAGGATTTTACAGGCTGGAAGGCTAGAGAGCAGAGACACAGTAGAGAAGGTGAAAGCAAAGTTAGGAATTGAAGTACCTTTCCAAGCATTGACAATTCCTCTAAGTCCCTTCCAGCTGAAATATTCTATTCTGTTTCCTAATATTCTTGCACTAAAGCCAGGGTGGGAATGCGTGTGAGCATGCTGGCTAGGGACTCTATGGCACAGAGCAGCAACTGCAGTTTTCCCCAGGCACTCATCAAGTTCAGTGATATGCTTATTTTACAGCAAGAGCACGTACAGCCCATGCTGAGGCTCTTGACGGATATTTTAACAGAAATTCTTTTTAAAAGGGTTAAGAGTCGCAGTGCAGACGACTTCACCCTTATTGCCGGAGAAACAGAAAAGGAGTTTTTAAAATGCTGGAGACAGCAGCACAAGTCATGATAATGAGCTGCCTGTGGCCGTTCAGCTCAGGGAGTGGGAAGCCTTGGAGGTGGCCTTGGACTACTGGAGCTCAGCTAAAGCAAAACAAAACAACACAAAAAAACAAAACAATGAGAAAAAAACAGTTTATATTCTCTCTGAGTATTCTCACTCAGCTTTCTCAGTATAGGGAAATAAATCCTGCTCAAGTCTAGAACAAATCACCCCAGCTCACACCTATGATGAGGTACCTTATAAAACACAAATGCTGTAACCTTTTTCTCTTCCTTGCAAGGGATTCAGATGCAGCAGGAGACAGGAGTCACCTAATAGACTCTCAGCAACTTCTGTCACACATTTTGCTTAACGATTGGTGTAAATCTCATCACTTAGAGTGATCTTTGAGGGTTTTTTTAATCAGAAGTTGCTCACTATGCACTTGGTGCTGTGTTTGAGGCAAAGTCCCCTGTATGATTGCTGGGAATGTACATTCCAAGGGGAGTGGATCAGATGAAAAAGGATAAATTCAAAATCCCATTTTTCCTTGGAAATATGTTACAATACTTCTCTTCCTAGAAGTAGAGGATGATTTGAGAATTAAAGGGTGGCAGAAGTATGCTAAAGATGCAGCTATGCTGACTTCCTGTAGAAATGAGTAAGCTTGAGTGATCACTTTACTTTTATTAGTGGTTCTCACCATGTATTTGACTGGCCAGTCATCTCCACTTTCTTCCTTTTTTTTTTTTTCCCCTGAAAATTTTGTCTGAGAAATAGCACACAAGAAAAGAGCTGCTAATTGAGAACAAGCTCTCATTACAGTTTTCATTACCCTACACTCTCAAACTGTGCTCCAAAGCAAGCTGTTTCACTTCCCTTGACTATACCTATTAGTAGGCAGAAAAACTTGCCTCAGCAGCACTGAAATCTTCTTTCCAGTCTAGTTTATAAATACAAGGAGAGTTTAGTTCTTCCCAAGGCTAGAAAAAGAAACACCTCAATAGCTTCTATTTATGTCACTGGAAGTAAGAATAAGCAGCTCGAAGATTTTCCTATAAGAGGAAAACACTAAGATCAGCATGACAAGCATTAATCATTTTCTCTGCCTATGGGAGCAGGCAAGGAGGTACAGCATTCCTACATGCTCTGTTTCAATTTTTCAATATACTAAAAATCAGCCAAGATCCCAGAATTATTTGCAATGCATCTTTATCCCTCCAAAAATTATTTTTATAAGAAATGTTGCTTCAAAATGAAATATATTATTATTTATCTTTCACTAATCAAATGAACTCAGAATGTAAAACAAATGTTGAAAAATACAATGAAATATTTAATATGGGAAAACAGAAAGAAGATCCTAGTTTTTACACTAAAAAGTAACCAAAAGAAGCAAAAAACCAGCAATTGTATAAAAGAATAAGTAAAAGAGCACATAAGGTAAGCAGTGTGGGAGGAGGGAGGAGCAAGAGAAGCAAAGCTGGACTCTATTTCCCTGAGTCTTCTTCCCCACTCAACCGTCATCTCCACTACAATAATTAAATAATGTGTTCATAGACTTTTAAGAGAGGGTGTCCAAGTCTGATTCTTCAGAATCTTCATGCCATCTGTTTCGGAAGTTCCAATCTGCAGAAACAGCACAAACATATGCCCTGCACTGAGGAATTTAAAATTTCAAACCGAAGTCCTAACATGTGAAAAAAGCCAGGTAGAACCCACAGAAAAAGAACCACTAGCACACAGATTCCATATTTAGGTGCCTACACCAATATGACCTGACATTTATATGATTCTTAATGCTTTTGTACAGCCATTGACACAGTGGGTAGTCAGCACCTTTAAAAAAAAAAACAGGCCACTCTTACTTGTAAAGATAAAAGCTCCTAACTTTAGCTTATGATTTCTAAAATTATTCCCCTCTTCCCCCCAATTAAAACACTGCACATTTTTGTACTTACATTATAATTTCAGTCACATTTTTGTTAAATGCAGAATTATTGTATGCAAAACCACGCTTTGAAATGTCTTACACTCCAGCGTGTCATACTTCTCCTGAAATGTTGGCCTGATACTCTGCTAACCCCTCTCTCTAGTTTAACCATCAGTCTATTTGCCTGCAGCATTTTTTCTCCAACTCCCAACCCTTCTGCCTGCTAGACAAAATTTTTTGCTTATTGATATTGGCAAAGGGTAGAGGAATGTGGAGTGTATTTTAACTACAATGGAGGTGCTTGGAAACTTTTAGCATTTTGAACTGGTTTATGACTTTTAGCAATAGTCTGTCTTGGTTTTAGTGAGAGTCAGCATAATTCTGCATTCATAAAAATATTTAAGATGTTAAGTACAACTGTTGTTAGAAACAAATAGCATGTTAGTAAAGTTTACTGCCTTCTTTATCAGCTGTGAGTGCAAGACTTTCCATTAAAATATCCCAGTCTACAGTTAAAATGTCAGCTTCCAGTATTTCCTCCAAAGGGAAGATTTCCAGGCCAAAAGGATTCATGCAGTTTCCAGAAATCTACATCTGTCATTAAAACAAGGTGCATACAATGTCTAATTGTAAACATCTTGACTTCTCATTTGGACTACCGTATAGCTTCAAGAGGCAGAAGGAACAAAGCTCCTATATTCACTCTTCCGATGAAACCAAAGTGCAAAGAAGGAAGAGTAAAGATTGTCTACCTCTCCTTCCATAATCTAGAGAAACCTCATACTTTTTCCATAATCTAACCTTTTTTAAAATGACATTTCAAAGAGCAAAAATAATGTTAATTTCCAGCCTTTATTCCAGTGTAAG